GGATAACCAAATTGTGCTGAACAAGAGATTCATGCTAAATGAGGTTTTAGCTGCTCTAGACACACACACACACACACACACACACACACACACAAAGGTATAACTATGTGAAATGACAGACATACTAATTTGCTTCAGTCATTGCAGTAACCATTTTACTATCTACATGTATCCCATAACACCATGTCATATACCATAAGTATACACAAAAACATTTGTTTCAAAAGATGGAACTGAGACATAGTAAGTACTCAAAAAATGCTATGTACTAACATTACAAACCCATGAACATTTCTATCAAAGATCAGATAGTAATAGCACGAGGTTTTGAGTCCAAATATGTCTGAAACTAAAAGCGTGCTTAGCCACTGTATCATACTGTCTCTAATAAGAACTACTATCTTATACTTCTACTTGCTTGATATACACATATCCATTTATACCATGTTGCAGAAAACATTTTTTCAAAGCAAAGTTTTTTTTCTAAGTCACACATAAAAGGTTTTTTTTTCTAGTACTGCTTTAAAAAATGCATATGTCCTTAAAGAAAAATCACAGTGTAAGAAGAATATGTTATTGGCGGTCAATAACATATATAATCATGAAATGAAAAAAAATGAAGTTTCTACTTAATGAGTCATTAAAATAAAAAAAATAATGTCACTTAAGAGTTGGAGTTATGCTTCTTTAATTAATTTATCATTTGTTCATTTTCTAGTCACTGAATAAATATATCTAGTGAAAACAATTTATTTAGTTATTGTTTTTGATATCCACTAGACTGAAAGGAAGCAACAAGTCCACTATAAAATAATATTATTCACAACAAATAGCAAAACATCCAAATATTATTCCCAACAAACAGTAAATCATCCAAATAGCCTTTATCATTTGGAAGAATTATTTGAGGTTATGGGGAATAATTACAATATAATATGGTAAAGAAAAATCACAACAGTAACTACATGGTGGCCTAATTTACTTATTGAAAAATAGATTGCCTCAGGACCAGCAGATGGCTTTAATGGTTATGTCTCTGGACTCCCATGTAGTTGACCATGCTTCAGGTCTCAGACTTGGCAGCTTAAAACTCACACCAGGTGTATGTTCATGTGTGCCCAAAATCCCAAAAGGAGAATGAAAGACAAGGGACTATGGTGTGGCCAGACTACGGTGTGGTCACTCCCCCTCAGGAATGATTTCTTTCTCTCTGTCTCTCTGGGGAGCACATGCACCCTATAGCAAAAGTCTCTCTAAAAATATAAATAAATTTAAAATTTAAAAAATAGATTGTCTCAAAAATACTACTGGGTCATTGGAAAAGTCATGTTGCATTTTTGCATAGAAAAAAATACATCATGACTTCTCAATTACCCCAATATATGTGTAACCAAATCAAAGTACCAGCCATACTCATGACCCTACCCTTTCACCCCTACCATATAAATATATCAGGTCTCCTCAGTAGAGTAGGCTGAAGCACCTCCAGCTTCAGGCCCCCAGGGCACTCTTTCTCTCAATACTTTCCTTTTTCTCTTGGTGAAGAAATTTTAAAATACTATGTGTTATCACAATCTGTTTGACTCTGTTCAATATTTTCTACTAATTTTGCTATTTAATTTTCTTGTACCATGATGAAAACTAACTACATGTTAAGAGAAAAAGGCAATAAACGTTTTCTTCCTAGATATCTGGACACTAAATCCAAAAATCGGCCAAAGAGAAATTGTCCTAAATGTGTCCAGTCTTCAATGATTTGGTATTGCTTTCTATCTCTGTGTCTCTCTGGGTAGCACACACACCCTATAGCAAAAATCTCTCTAAAAATATAATAAAATTAAAAATTTTTTCACATATTCTTCAATTTTAAGCTACCATATATATCTACAAAATAGACAGTTCAAAGCCAGTTTTCATCACCACAACTGACAAAATATCAAGTACTACTTAATCACTTAGTAATTCTCTATTGTAAATAGCACCATTGGTAGAAAGTAATTCACATATAACGTAATATGGTAATTATTATAACAACCTATACCTCTAAGACTGGTGACATATTGCTTAATATTTTAATATAAAACTAAAGTATTATAGATAACTTTATAGTATCAGTTCGTTCATTGTCATCATAACAAAACCAGTATGCACCAAGTGCTTACTATGTGTGATGTGTGATCTACATGTTCTATTGCAGTTAGTCTACATAATTTTATAAGGTATTATTCCAATTTTATGATGATAAAAACTGAGACACAGACACACACACACACACAGACACACACACACACATACACACACACACAAACATACTCAAAGTTGTACCAATAAGTAGTAAAGTCAGAACTTGAATCTAAGTCTATTTGAACTGAAATTTCACACATATAACAACTAAAATAGAGCCTTTATATAAAGCCCTTATAATAAAACAAAGTCCCCCAAAAATCTCCAATACAAATAAAGCTATCTTTGAGGGATTCAGAAAAATAATATTATTCCTTCAATCAATTATTTAAATTCTAAATCCCCTCTATAAAGTAAAAACCTATCAAGGTTATTAAGAATGGTATATTAGTACCAACAGAGATAAGGCTTACAAACCCTATAAAATGTTTCATAAAAAGGGACTATTTAGTGGAGAAAAGTGCATGGAAGATAAAATGCTTCCACTTGAAACACAGATGACAAAGAAGTAACTTATTTTAGAGTTTAGCTCAATTTCTGCAAAAATTAGATAATTCTGCAATTTTTGTCATGTATTTATTATATAATTGGATTTTCAAAGGAAAAAAAGGACTATACTGGATAGTCTCTGGAAGATTTAAAAACTTTAAAATGATTCTAATTCATCTGGAACAATTTCATATTGACTAAAAATAAGGTGATGTGTCTTATTTGAAGATCACATTCATCTATATGAATTGATAATCTAGTCATAAAATAAGAAATTCTATCTATCCCTTCATTGCCAAGAATATTCTTCAAATAAAAGAAAAAATCCCATTTAACAATTTGCTTCTAATATTTTAAGAAATGAAAAACTCACTGATGTTCATACTTCTCCATAATAACCTCTTCATAAATTTAAAATAGCGAAAGAGTACAGTACTAATACACACAATTGTATACAAGACTGCCCTCAGATATCAAAAGCTTGAAAACAATAAAAAATAGATAGTAATTAAAAATAGCATATAATTAAGTCATAAGGTACTTTGAATTAAAAATATATCATTAAAGAGAGTAATCATGTTTTTGTTATATGTTTATACTGGCTACAAACTAAGGATATAATATACATCACTGAAAAAGTTGGAATTAGATATAGAGAACAATTAAGATGAATGATATAAAGAACTAAAAACAAACAAATCAAAATGAAAATTGGTATGGTGACTCACATTTTTATCTCCTAATGAAATAAATATGATTTAAATACCAAGACATAATATAAACACTAAAATGAGTTTTGAAAGCAGGCAGTAAAAAAAATAACAATATGTCTTAGATGAATGGACCAGATCAACAGTTAAATACGGCTTTAGCACTAAGGTTTTACAGTAGGTGCTCATGACAGAATAAATTATTGTGATAATCTAAGTTACATTTTTTCTAGTCATCACTGAGCAACAAAATCCATCTCAGGTTTTAAAAACTATGTATTTTATATTAATTTATAAACAATATTTACATAAAGATGGAAGTCTTTAGTGACTACTTCAAATTCTTTTCAGAGTACTTACTGGGTTTTACTTAACTGATATTTCTTATTTAACTTAGATAAATACTAAAATAGTGTGAATTTAAAAACAGAACTAGAAATTAAAGTCTGATTTTTACATTACACAGATCTGCTTTCCAGTGAAATTATTTAAGATCTCATAGCAAAACATAGCAGGGCATGACCTCAAGATTCCCTTTGAAGCTTTTTACTTTCAAATCTCTAAACTTAGATTGACACAAAAGAAAGCATGACCCATAGACTGAAACCGAAGGTTGAAAATATATAAATAAGGTGTATATTTAGATTTATACTTTGAACAAAAATGGTCCCAGTATGCAAACAATGTCATAAGCAAAAATAAACAGAATTTCATTAATAGGTAATTTAGACAATACACATAGGAATTTCATGCATTACGTTTAATTAGGCCTCAAACGTTTCCCTTTCATTCATTGTTTTTCCATCGACTCGAAATTTGTTGACCCACAAAGAATCTCAAGTATATGTATAGATACTAACAAAGCAGTCTTCAGTTATTTTGGGAATAACAATTAAGGCTTACATATTATGCCCTTTAAAATTCCCATGTATAGCAATGTACATCACTGTCAAAATAACTAACTACACAATAGCTATATTTAACTTGTTATATATATCATTCTAAAATATAACATTAAATCTGAATTTGATTAATAAGTTACTTCTTAAAAAACTAAGAAAAGCTAACCTCATTGGAAAATATTTAACTGTAAATATCTGGATACGCCACAAATTAGTTAGGTATCATCCTAAAAAATGAACTATATATAAAAAAAAGTTAATTAATATTGTGCTAGTCTTATGTCATGATAATAGTATTATAAGATAATATCCTCTTTAAAACATAAATTACACAATCATTCTAAATACTATTCATATGAATAAACTTTACCCTGGTGATATTCCTCAACATCCCAAGATTTCATGGACAATCCAAACCATGAATATTCGGAAAGGATAAGGTCAACATTAACATTTTCCTCAACTGTATATTTTAATCACTGTGTTACATCTGGTAAAAATTTTTTATTTAATAACAAGGGAGGGCATTTCTTTATGGCCAGGGTTTCTTTTATATTGTGTAAATGTATGTATCGGTCTTAGTTTTAAATGCTTTTATTAGCATTCTCAGGGGACAAAACCCAACTACTGTAAGATATTCACATATAACTGAGGATATCATGCAAATCTAAGCACACACAAAATATCAGCAATTTTACATTCAAAGAAAACTTACCAGACAGTCGTTTCCACTTGACTGTCATTGAGCTGCCGATTGTCCAGCTGGGCAAAAAGTGGAAAAAGCACTTGAATCCCTCCAATTGAGTGAATTGCACTGTGAATTGAATGTGTTACAATAGCTTTCACATCCTGTTTAAAAACAAAAATGTTTATTAACATTGTATAGCAAAATTTTCATTACTATTTCCTTGTTCCAAATATCTTTATGAGAATTAAGTAACATAGTTTGACATTTTAAGACCTCAACTATATATTTTTAATATAGATATAAAATTAAAAATACAGGTATCTTTGCTAGTCACTTTTTTTTTTTTTTTTTGCTAGTCACTTTTGAATTACAAATCTTAGGCTGAGAAATCTTTACACTGATAATAGGAAGCTAAAACCAAAAGATATTTTTAAATAAATATTATTAATGGATTTTTAAAAAGTTCATTTTTATGTTAGAGATTAGTAATACTTTCTTAAAGCAAAATATATTTTGATAACTGTTCAGCTAATCAACTTTATTTCAAAAGACCTAGAACATATAAGAAATGTAAAAGAGTTTTTTTACAAAAGATGCTGGGCCAAAGTAAAGTACATTGCTAAAAGAAAAAGGAAAAAAAGGGGATAAAAAGCAAAACTTCTATTTAAAGAACTGAAAAACAAAAAAAGAAAAAAAACAGCAATTCTATATCTGTAAAGGATCACTGTTTTGTTTTATATATAACAAAGATACTGTCAATGCTGATAGAAAGCTAAACTGCTATTCACCTACCTGGAGCATTAGAGCATGAGGGGAATGCACAAAAATAGATGCATTTTCCTTTGGTGATGATTCCAAGCATAGCTGAGCATCAGTGGCCTTAGCATTGTAGGTAAAGGCAATACTACTTGCAAGTTTCCCATCATATAGGACCTGTTTATGATGTTCTGCCAAGTGAATATCACTCTCAGATTTAAACTTGAAGGTACTCTGAAAAAATAAAACTAAAGTAAATAATCTTCAAAAATGATTTTTTTTTGGGGGGGGGGAGAGGTTTTTGCTATAGGGTGCGTGCACTTGCCAGAAAGACAGAGATAGACAGAAAGCAAGAAACCACCCCCTGGGAGGATGGCCATGCCGCAATCCCTTCTCTTCCATTCTCCTCTCGGGATCTTGGGCATGTACACATATGCACCTGGTGTGATTTAAGCTACCGGGTCTGGGACTTGAACCGTGGTGAACTACATAGGAGTCCAGCGACATAGTCATTACACCAACTGCTGGTCCCAAAATAAAATAAATTTTTAAAGCAGAGAAACATTTACAATATTAAGTCAATTCTTCAGTGCCTTCTATATGTCAGGCACTACTTAGTGGTGTAGCTTAGCTATTCTTTCTTTGATTCTATGAGAATTAGGTTTGATTATGTTACCAAAAAAAAAAAAATCAGACCTTCATATTCTCATTTTTATTCTGCTTTATTTGTAAAACAATTTTATAGGAAAAAATCAAGTTAGTGAGGCTAAATATAAATAGGATTTTACTTTTCTACTTCATATCACATATTTAATCTTTCTTGTTAACACTTTCAAAAGTATTTATAGTCATAAATGACATTAAGTATAAATGGGATTTTACTTTACAATTTCATAGAATGAATTTAATCTTTCTTTTTAGCACTAAGTATTTATGTATGTGAACAGTGCCTAGCACCTCAATTATTGGGTTGTAGGGGGAAAGTCACGACACATTTTTGCATACAAACACTTAGAACTTATACAAAAATATGACTATGATTTAAACTATAGAAAAAGTTAATATGCAAAAATATTTATGTACTTATAAAAAGCATACCACTGTAAGGAATACCAGTGTTAATCCACAAGAATACCATAATAAAGATGTTAAGCTCAAAGTTCATTAAAATATGTTTTACTCTATATGAAAAACAAGAACTAAAGAAGTCTCAGCTATAACAAGAAAGGTATTGTTAAAAGTGTTAAAATTACTCTGTGAGGGTTGGCAGGTGGTTAAGGTGAAGGGTGGTTATGGTGCTGGATTCCCACATGGTCAACCACAGTTCAAGTCCCAGACCCAGCAGCTTGAAAAGTCACTCAGGGCATGTGTGTAAGCATTCCCCTAATCCCGAGACAAACATGGAGAAAAGATAGTGGCACGGCCATCTCCCCTGGGGGGTGATTTCTCACTTTCCCTGTGTTTCTCTTCATTCAAGCACATGCACCCTATTGCGAAAACCTTGAAAAAAAAATCCTCTGCAAATAATTAATCTAAAAATGACAAATAACATTTAATATTTGCAACAATCACATTATATCATTACTGTTATTTTCAGCTTACAAAATCAAAAGTCTAGAGAAATTAAGATCTGGGAGGGAGGAAGCCAGGGCATAATTCCAAATATTCTCATTTACAGTGAATGTTCAACACATTTATAGTAAAGACATCTGAATTATAATTATAATTCTGCTACTAATTATCTTTTTGAGGATTAGGAAATTATTTAACTAATGTGCTCCAATTTCCTTACACTAAGGTTAAACTAAATGTTACAAATTCAAATTCTTATGTACACAGATAGACAAGTAAATTCCTAGTGGGAATTTCCTCAACTAGTAAGTGAATGTTCTAGCTACAAGTGCCCCCAAACCTCAGCTCGGGTCAATTATTATACAATGTTGCCAGCTCTTCATCGTTTTTCAAGAGAATAATGAAATCTGTATTTTCATATAAAAATCACCTAATTTGTAAATGTAATTCAAACATTTTAAAACACTGTACAGGGAGTGGTTGGTGGCATGGTAGTTGGGGCTCTGGACTTTCAAATGACTAACCATGGCTCTAGTCCTGGACTGGATGGCTTGTATTCTCACTTCCTCTCTCTCTCTCTCTCTCTCTCTCTCTCTCTCTCTGGTAAGCACATGTGCCCTTAGCAAATTTAAAATAGCAATAATAATAAATAAAATTAAATAAGAATAGTTCTTTAAAAAAAAATACATTCTACAGACCAAACACATCAGTCAAACCCAGTCTTCTACTTCTGGACTAGTCTCTTAAAGAATATTTCTAACTGAAACTGGGACACAGACAGTTAATACTCACACATGTTCCCCAGAAAAGCAACATAAATAATTTAAAATATGTGCACATGTGGCTATGGATGCTACTTTTTATCTCTTTTTAAAGAATTATTTATTTAATTCGATTTATTTATTTTTAAAATTTGCTATAGGGGAAGTGCATTCACCAGAGAGAGAAAGTGAGAAAGCAAGATACCAGGTCCAGGACTTGAACTGTGGTTGGCCATGTAGGAGTCTAGCACCTTAACCACCATCCCACTTGCCGGGCCTTAAACTTTTTATCTTTTTTTTTTTTTTTTTGAGAGATTTTTGCTATAGGGTGCGTGTGCTCGCCAGACAGAGAGAGAAAGAGAGACAGAAAGTGAGAAATCACCCCCTAGGGGGGATAGCCACATCATAATCCCTTATCTTCCATTCTCCTCTCAGGATCTTGGGCACGCGCACACACACACCCAAAGTGAGTTTAAGTCACCGGGTCTGGGACTCGAACCACGGTCAACTACATGAGAGCCCAGCGACCTAGCCATTACGCTAACTGCTGGTCCCAGTACTTTTTATCTTTTACTTTTAAGTATGTTTAGCTTTTTCAGTATTAGAAGTAAGCAAACAAAGTTGAGCTACTTGGATCAGAGCTTTGGTTATCTATTCAATGAAACAAATACAATTAATTTTGTCTCTAAAATAACGTTCTCGGTCTTAAATTTACATTGTCTTTTTTTTCTTTTATGTAACGATTACCCAGAACTGTTGTGGTACTATTTCCCTAATATATTTCTCATCCTTTCACTTTCAGCTTTTTTGTATATTTATATTTTGAGTCTATCTTTATAAATACCATATAACCGAGTACATCTTTTACTTATTAAAGAATACACTATATTTATAATTACTGTGATTATGATTTGCTTATTTATTTGTTCCATCTTATTCTGGGTTACTTTCCCTAATCTCCATCTTTTTTTCTTCTTTACTACCTCTCTTTTGGGAACCTGAGATTTCTCTTCTCTTTGCGCTTTTCTTACCTCATTGATTTGAACATTAAACACCATCTGTTTTTAGTAACGAACCTAGAAATTTAAAATACATGTTCAACTTAATGTCAGCCTCTGAATAAAATTCTTATAAAATGTTTTAATTCTAGCAATGGCAACCACTCACTCAAAGTACAAATATCCATATTTAGTCATTTAACTTTTATCTATCTCAGTAATTAAATATATCACTATTATCAATATTTTAATATAATCAACTTGCTTAGATATGTTTATATGTTTATAACTATCTCTGCATACAACTCATTCCATCAAATCCCTTTAAGACTCATTTATTTCTTATTAAATTCATTTTTCCATTATAACTCCTTTAATGGAACTGTATTGATAGTTACTCGGCGTTAATGGAACTGTATTGATAGTTACTCAGTTTTTATTCATCCAAAATGGTCTTTTCCTTCTTTGCTTAAAGATACGTTTTACTCAATATTTGTGTTAGTTTTCTCCGCTGCATATCAAATAGCCTGAACAGATTAAAGTGGTTTAAAAAACCACATACTTGGGATCAGCAGGAGACATAGTGGTTAAGGCACTAGACTCTCACATGTTCAATCATAGTGCGAGTCCCACAGTTTGTGTCCTGGATCTGGCGGCTTGAAACTCACATCAGGCGCATATGCGTGCATCCCCAAAATCCTGAGAGGAGAATGAAGGAAAAGGGATTGCAGAAAGGCCATCTGCCTTTGGGGGTGATTTCTTGTTTTCTGTCTCTCTGTTTCTATCTCTCCAGCAAGCTAACATGCCCTATAGCAAAAATCTCTCTCAAAAAAAAAAATTCATCTTTTTTTAATCTAACAATTTCTGTATGTTCTAAGTTCAGAAAAGAGCTTATGTAGGTTCTATACTGAGGATATAAGAGGTTGGAATCAAGGTGTCAACCAGGAAGCATTCTCATTTGAAGGCTTGACTAACAACTAGGGAAGAATTCACTCTAAACTCATTCAGATTGCTGGCTGAATTCATTTCCTTATAGTTATATAACTTATGACCCCAAATTCTTCTGCGTTTTCGGATACAACCAGCCATCTGTACCTAGAGGCCACCTTTAGTTTTCCACAGGCAGATCATGACGTGGCTTCTTCCTTCTTCAAGGCCAGCAGGAAAACAAAAGTGGCTACTAGCAATATAGAGTTCATATTACATAACAATCTAGGGGGTAACATTCATCACCTTCCTATAATCTACTGTTTAAAAGAAAGTCAGAGGTAATACACAGGTCAAAAGGAGAACGTTATACAAGAGCTAAATAGGGCTCATTAGGGATCACTTTTGAGTCTTTCATCACGGTATTCGCTTCTACAATAACTTGACAGTCATTTTCTCTCAGAACATTGAAGATATTATTCTACTAACATACCAGGACTATTAGCTGGAAGTCTAATTGTAATTATTTTGTTGTTAATCTTTTTTCTTCGTTTTTCTGATATTATTATTGTCTTAGGTGTGATAAAGGTTCACTAGAAGACCTGAGTTCCTTTTATTTAAATTGCATGAATTTATTCTTTTTTATAATGACCTTATTATTTCTGGAAAATTCAAATAAATACCTATTTTCTTACTGCTGTATCTCCATTCTGTTTTTTCTTACTGGTACTCAGAGTATTTTTTTTAATCATCTTATTTAACTTTATTTATTCATTTATTTTAATTTGACCAGTGAGGGACAGAATAAGAGAGGGAGAGAGGGAAAGTAGAAGAGCAAGCTGCCAGGTCCAGGACTGCAGTCAGCCATGTGGGAGTCAAGTGCCCTTAACTACCATACCACCTGCCAGCCCCATCTGAGTAGATATTTATTAAACTTCTAATTTTAGTTCTCAAATTGCTTAAATGTACTTGCATT